AGAGAGAGAGAGAGAGAGAGAGAGAGAGAGAGAGAGAGAGAGATTGTACTCTCCATCCACCGTGTAGGTCCTGTGATTCAAAGTCGGATTTTCAAGCTTGGCAGAAAGCATCTTTACCTGCTAAGCCAGTCGACACAAAGTGCATTTTCTACTATACATCTGGATCTAATTTAGTAGAGGAATTGTCTTTCCAAGAACAAAGCTTTTCAAGATTCTTCCTTCCTCGAAGTTTAAATACCCTGAAGATCTTGCATAGGTTTCTATTTGTCAAATTATTTCATCAGAAATAAAAGGAAAGGGAGACTGGAGAAGCTAGAGAGGACAGGAAAGATACTCGCTCTTTATTCTTTATCTGTAAGAATCTGGGGGTGGAAGAAAATTATCACTTGACAAGTCCCACTGCTAAAGTAAATCTCAGTCCAAGAGCACTCCAGACAGGGTTTGGGAGATTTCAACAGCTCCTTTCAGAGTCACAGATTTCAAAGCATTATCAATTTCTTGGTTCATTCTGTTCCTTGCACTTCAAGCTTATAGTATTCACTTTCTCAAACCCTCCTAGTTAGCCTTCATATTGTTGCATTTATCCACAACCAACTTCTGATTTTCTTCATACTATTCCCCTATAACTAGAAAAGGTCTCCTCACACCACTACCTTTCTAATTCTTTAGGTTTCCAGAGATCCCATCTAGAAGACCAGACTTTGGGGGTTGGGTACTTTCCTCAGCTTTTGCCTAAAGTTTTCTTCTCCATCATTCAGAACACAATGGGCAGATGTATAGAATGTGTTTTGCATGTAGAAAGCATCTAAAACATTTTTACTCTGTCAGCTCCGAGTGGGTTAGGGAATTATGGTGATTTACATCAAATGCTGAGTAACAATATTTTCATCTTCAGATTTTGTCTTCCATTACAAAGTGGGGTTTAGAGTATAGCTGACTGATACCAAGTATATTTAGACTGCACAAAACCCTGCTTCAATACTCACTACCAATACAGAAAGTAAATTGCAATTCACGTCTCATTTATAAACTAAAGTTTGTGTATGCCCAAGACTTTCAAGTCAGTTCTTACAGTTATTTAGTTTATTATCCAAATAATAATAATAATAATAATAATAATAATAATAATAATTATCCCTGACTTTTGTTATGAAACATGATCTCACTGTGTAGCCCAGGCTGGTCTTGACTCTGGTTACTTGTGCTGAGATTATAAGGTACCTTGACCTGAATGCTTTTAATACTTTATTTTTTATGTTTTATGTCTATGAGTGTATTGCTTGCATGTAAGAAAGTGTACCCATGTTGTGCAATGCCTGCGGAATTCAGAAGAGGGAGTTGGATCTCCTGGAACTGGAGTTAGGATGGTTGTCAGCTGCCATGTGGATGCTGAGAATCGAACTTCTGCTAGAGCAGTCAGTGCTCTTAACCACTGAGCCATCTCTCCAGCTCCTTGACCTGAATTTTTAAACAAAGATTTATTTTTATTTATATATATGTGTGTGTCTGTATGTGTATGCACACATGCCCATGAAAACACAAGAAGGTGTCATAGCCCCTGGAGCTATTTACAGGCAGTTGCAAGCCACCTGCCCTGAGTGCTGGAAGCTGGATTCAGATTCTTGGAAGAGTAGCAACCACTCTTAATCAGTGAGCCATCTCTCTATCCCCTGCCCTTACTTTGGATTCAGAACATATGGTTCCTGATATAAAACATGAGGGTAGGGCGGTCCTCATGAAGCATGCCATTTTTTCAGGACAGTCACACTTGACTTAGCCTCAGCTTACAGCCAGCATTTCTGAGAAGACTGCTATGCTTCACACTGGTCATAATGCAGAAGGGGGTTTTAACTTAGAACTCTGAAATATGTTCTATCTGGAAACTTCCCTTGGGGGCTGAGAACATAGTCTCTGTCTGTAAATTGTTAGTCCAGATGATTTGTAAGCACTGACTATGGGGAAGCAAACCTTCCTGCCCTCTGGTGCCATAGAGTCACTGATTTGGTCATCTTACAGATACCCATTTGTTTATGCAGCAAATATGTACTGACCCCCTAACACATGCCTGGAACGTGTTTCCTTGAGGCTTGTTCTAACTGTTCTTTGCTTGTTACAGCTTTTTGTCCCAATTGAAATAAACTATCAATCTTGAAAAGACTGAAGAGAAATCTTAGACAATTTTTTTCTGTTTAGTTCTTATTCTCAAGAACCGGTCTGTACAACCTTCTCCAGGTTAAATTTTGTAGTTCTCAGTATTTATTCAGATTGTATGTGGTAATGAACACTCATATGCCTTTTCTACTTTGGCATCCCAATTGTTCAGATCAAAGCTCAGTTAAAGAGAAATACTGGGCACATGGCAATCCCCATTCTATAGAACTCATTGTGTCAGTCCTTCATTTTCAGAGTTTCATACCCAGGCCAGTTATTTACTTCACTCACACTGAATTTATCCACCCTCTTCTATGAATGGGACACTATTTTCAGGTCATGGAGATGGAAATATGAATAAAATACAATTCCATCAGGAAATTGTTCATTAATAATCATTTATTGCTTGCTTACTATATCCTGGATATTATGATAATCAGTAGGATACAGTGGTTAGCAAAAACAAGGATGGCCTTATGGAATTTATTGAAACAGGCATACAAGAACCATGTGTGTTACGTTCACCACTGTGCATCACACAGCACATAGTAGGTGCCCATTGAAAATTTGTTGAATGAATGAAAGTGACCAAGTATATCAACTGTAAGAAGTGGTATGAAGCCAGAAAATGGCTTAATGGTTTTAAGAGCACTCTCTGCTCTTCCAAAGGACCCAGGTTCAATTCCTAACACCTGAACTTTTAAGCCAGGCATGATAGTGCATGCCTTTAATCCCAGCACTTGGGAGGCAGAGGCAGGTGGATCTCTATGAGTTCGAGGCCAGCCTGAGTGAGTTCCAGGACAGTTGGGGGCTACAGGGAGACCCTGTCTCAAAAAAAAAAGAACAAAATAGTGATTATGAACTGGAAAAAAAAGAAATTGAAATTGTGGGGAGATAATAGGGTAGATAGATGGAAAAGACGAAGCCTACTTAGGAAGAAGAGTAGCCATGGCAAGACTAGAAACACAGCATTCCAGAAGGAGAAGTATGGGTAATGCGTTTCTCAAGACAAAGTCTTGAATATTTTTATTTGAAGAATAAATATGACCATGATATTATTATTCATGTTTGTCCAAATTATTTCATTTTGCATATAACTTTTACCTTTACTGCATATTGGAATTACCAGCATATATCAAGTTAAGCTTTTGTTGTTTTAATATTACTTACACAAAATAAAAGAAGTGAATTTTAAATGTTCAGTATTTAGCAGCAATATGAGATTTAAACAAGAAAGAGGGGATAACCATTATAGGTGTTCTATAAAAGGTTTTCTTCTCAGCACTCGGGAGGCAGAGGCAGGCAGATCTCTGTGGGTTTGAGATCGGCCTGGTCAGTGAGTTCCAGGACAGTTGGGGGCTACAGGGAGACCCTGTCTCAAAAAAAAAAGAACAAAATAGTGATTATGAACTGGAAAAAAAAGAAATTGAAATTGTGGGGAGATAATAGGGTAGATAGATGGAAAAGACGAAGCCTACTTAGGAAGAAGAGTAGCCATGGCAAGACTAGAAACACAGCATTCCAGAAGGAGAAGTATGGGTAATGCGTTTCTCAAGAGAAGGCACAGTATTGTTGGTGAAGGCTCCGAGGCAGGTTGAGTTCTTGCCATGTTTCGGTGGGAAGCCAAGTAAGCAGAGGCAAAGTAGTAAATGAAGAAAGACCACTGAGAGAAAATGTAAGAGGTAAGCTGGGCAGTGTCTTGCAGGACATTGTAAGGGGGTGGATTTTATTCTAAGTGTAATGAAAAGTGAGTTATTGCCTTTAAGCAGAGGATGAATGGGAGTTTGGACTAAGGTGGTTGTGGTAAAAGTGAGTAGAATCAAGATTGTGCTTCGGAAATAGAAACAACAGACTTGTTGACAGACTGGATGTGGGGGATGAGAGAAGAGGAAAATTAAGGATGACTTCCAGGTTTTTAGCTTAAGCAACTGGGTGGGAGGAGGTGTCGTTTTCTAACATGAAGAGAATTGTAGAGGAGTCCTGGGGTTTGTCGCTGTTTATTTTTAACATGATTTACTTGAAATGTCTGTGAGATATGTAAGTGTAAATGTCAAGCAAGCAGTTGAATATCAATCTGGAGCTTTCTAACAGAGAAAATGGGATCAAGATCAGGAATTTTATGATAAAAGCTTTCTAAGAGATATAAGGCTTAAATGTTCAAAGAAAAATTTCAAGCCTTCCTAGTTTAGAGGAATTTTTCAGAAATAAGTTGGTATTTTAACCAAAGGCAAGATGATGGTGGAGAATATTTTTGGTAAAAGGAATGGAATAACAAAAGCAGAGGAGAAAATTTTAGGTACATTCAGAAATTGAAAAGGAGTTCAAATACGGTGGAATATAGTTTGTATTTGGCAAGTTGGAAGATGAGTCTACAGAGGGTGGTTGAAGCCAGACAACTCAGGCTTGAGTACCACGATAAAGGATTTGTATTGCATTTTCTAGGCAATTATGAATAGCCTTTAAGCAGAGACATGGGCTGATAAAGTTATTAAGAGCTACCGAGTGATATTGCATAGGATGTACTGAGGAATGAGAATAGGAGACAAGGGAAACCAATTAAGAATCTATTTCAGAGACAGAGAGATGGCTCAACAGTTAAGAGGACTGGCTGCTCTTGCAGAGGACCTGGGTTTGATTCCCAACACCCTCATGGCAGCTAACAACTTTCCATACTCCAGTTCTAGGGGATCTGACTCCTTCTTCTGGCCTCCATGGGCATTACACGACATGGGTGCACTTACATACATGCAGGCAATATACTCACACAGATAAGAAATAAAATATCAGGAAAAAAAGAATCTATTTCACTTTTCAAGGCATGAGATAGTGAGGAGCTAAATGTTGATTGAGGCAAGCTAAAGAGAAACATTTGTAAGGATAATTATTATGTTAACCTAATAGGAAAGCCAGGAGGATACACCTCTGTTTACTTCATTGTTGATATCTTTGTGTTCACATTAGGTTATGGATTTCTGATATGGCTGGACAACACTCTTCAATTTTTCCACAGCCATTTTTGATAATAGTTCAAGGGAGCAGTGTGGGTAAAGAATGTCCTAAGAGAAGGCATAGTACAGGTGAACGCTCTGAGGTCAGTTGAGAGAGTGACATGTTTTCAGTGGGAAACCAAGTGAGCCAGAGAAGTGGCAAATGATGAAAGGTTGCTGAGATAAAATGTAGGTACGCAGGGGTCTTGTGAGATATTGTAAGAGGCTTGAATTTTAATGGGACTGTTGGTTTAGTTTCATAGCATACAATAAATAGGTAACAAAGTGGTAGCTCTGATAGTGACGTGAGCAGACTCATACAGGTAAGTGTTGCTGGAAAAAGCAGTGTCGGTTCAAAACCATGGGCTGACAGGACATGGGTCAGGATATGCAGACAGTAAAGATGAGTTAAAACATTTTCAGTCTCTGTCCCTATTAAAGCCCCATTGTCTGCCCCTCTTGCCCCCACTACTCAAAAATTAGCCACACAAGCTAAACTTTCAATTCACTGAAATTCTCCCTCTCCCAGACTCCTGTTCATATTATTATCTGTGCATAATCACATCCCCTCCCAGGCTCCATCTCACAAACAAGGATCTTGAGAAAATAACTGAATGTGCTCTCCTTTCCTCCGTGATAATGCCATTTAGACAAATGAAGCCTCGAATTTACTAATCCAAATTTCCAACATGAAGTTAATTATGCATCCAGCTGGAGCTGAGGTGAGGTAGAATGGTGGGGAGCAGGGGCTATGTTTAAGTACCATTCTAATGGTAAAACCTGGCTATGGCCTCTGCTTATTCTCCAGAAACTTCTGGGAGTATTTATGTATGATGAGCTTCCTTTCAAAGGAGTTCAGCTTTTCTTAAGGCAGTCTTCTTAAGTATATCTACAGAGAAAACGGTCTATCCCAAGTGTTTTTTTTTTTTTCCTTTTGGACTAGAGAATACTTTTGCCACCAGTGGACCCCACCTTCTTTTATTATTTTACCCACTACTTCCTATCTTTCAACATTGACATACACATATACATAAGTGTCTATACATAGTGTTCATTATCCAATGACCTTTAAGGAGTACTTTGAACTCTTTGGGGACTATGTACTATGAAAACATAATAAAGCAATGAATTCATAAAACATCTTTACGTGAGTAGAAGAGGTACTATTTCTGTGCTGTGAGGGCTAGCCCTCTCTCAGAATAACTTAAATAGTAGGTAGGTATATCATAAGGGACATTAACTTTTTACTCTAAAATACTTCGTCCACTACATGAAGCAACAATGTGGTGATACACATTTTAAAATCTTGATCCTTAACCATTTATTTTCAAGGATCTGTTATTTAAATGTAAATATCACAGGGAGTTGGTTAGTTGGTTGGTAGATTATGATTTCAGACTAGTTCCTTTTACACTAACCTGCTACTGCTATCAAACATATTTTTCATGTTCTGGATTTTCTGTACATTTGTTTATGCTGTTCTTCCAGAGGTAATGCTAAATTCAACATAAATTATCTATGTAAAAATATTTATAATTTCATAAATCTCTCATTTGACACCCAAATTCAAGCCTACTTGTTAGTTTTTAAAACAATTTATTTTTCCAATGTAAGAAGAATAACAAGTATATTATAGAAAATTTGAAAAAGGCAAGAAGGTAGGAAGAAGAAAAAACAAACATAGTCCTATCTCCTAAAGAACAACCATCATTAACAGTGTTGTCGTGCTCATTAATTAAACCTTCATTTAAATTCCATTTCTGGTGTGCTGCCTTCATTTAAATTGCTCTCCTAAATCTTGTAGACCACGTTCATACCACTCACTTCCATTTACCATACACTTCTGTGTACAGTAAACTTAGTGTATCTTGTGCTTCCAACTAGATTGTTAGAACCTTGTCAGGGCTGAAACTATGAGTTATCGTTCTTAGCTTCCACGAAAATACCAGGTATGCTGGACCCAGTATTTGCTGACTGATTTAACCTAAATGAATATGAACCATTATCAGAATAGGAAATAGGCCAAGTACTTAGGTCATGAAAATTAAAGCTTTCTGGCCACCTAACTTAGTGACTATTGCTTTCCTATTCCTGGACTCTTGAAAGGTTGTTTAACTGTTGTCTTTCTCCCCACCCAAACTGAATGAGAAGCACGTTGATTAAAGAGCCAGGGTTCATTCAGAGATTCTCAATATAAGGCATAAAGGTGAAAGAAAAAGAGAGAGGCGTGGGGGAAAGGAGGGAGAAGGGAAGAAACGTGAAGAAAGAAAAAGAGAGAAGAGACTGAAAAGAGAAAAGAAAGATAGATGGGAGTATATATAGTCTGGTGCTCAGTCCAGTATGTGATTTGCCTCCAGCACTGTGTACAGGATCCCATCCACTTGTTCTGAGGCATACCCGATCTCACGAAGCTCCAAGTGAGGGAGGACAGAAGTAAGGAGATAGCTGACGTGGATACGTAGCCGCGTAAGCTTTGCCAAAGCCCTGTATGATGGAGTGAGGGGGCAGAAGAGATGACATGAAGTCATTAGCCAACAGAATAAAATGAAGCCCCTTCAAAATGGGCCTACATATCTTAAAAATTATGCCTCCATTAGATAGAAAGAAAGCAGAAAGCACAATGCCACCAAACACAGGGAGATTGGCTGCGGCTTTCTAAGAATTATGCAATCCTTGGTAGTCTATGAATTAAGACTTCCTCCCTTGCCTAGGACCGTAGCACCTGGGGATCTTAGGGGATACTTCCCATTAGTACTCATGAGCTGAGAACTAAACCCTAGTAATTAACCTTTCTAGGTCATCTCCCTCTGGGTTCCGGTAGGAGACCTGGGCCTTCTTCAGCATTTCCAGGTGTGTCTCTGTTTCTTTCAGTTTTTCTTTTAATTCTTGCTTCTCCTCTTTGGTTCTTTCTAGCTCAGCTTTCAGAATCTGGAATTCAGCTTGGCGATAACCCATGTGTTTCTTGCTCCAGTACAAGCCTTCTGTCTCCTGGGTACTATAGGTCAGCAATTCATGTTGAACTTTCTTGAATTCAGAATGCCAATGATTCTTCTCCTGTTCCAGCTCCTCCACCTGCAGTCCAAGAAAGAGATATTCAATGATGCTTCATACAACCAAAAGTTAAAGAATGTCAAAAAATTGATTCACGTATGCTCATCCCATGATTCCATTATAAATACTCCTTTATTTATGTAAATCTATTTTCAAGCCTAAAAATATGGGAAGAAAGCCCATTAGGGTCAACTCAACCTGAGACACATCACAGAATGGTTCAATGACGTATTTTACTTAAAAGTCTCAGAATATGAAATAAATCATCAGAATATCAACTCCCCAGTCCCTTGGATACAATGATCTCTTATTCCTAGTGGTAAGGTGTTGCCCAAACCTTTTGCTGGAACATATTCCTTTCAGCCAAAACACGTTCCAATTTTTCTGTGGTTCTCTTCAATTCTTCCACCTCTTTCTGATTTTTCATCTTTGGCATGTTACGACTTCCACTCTCCTGGTAGCCTTTTCCTTTCCCCCCCGGGGCTGCAGCAGGGACTGTAGCAGGGGCCATAGAAGAATCAGGACCTGGGTTCCAGGATTCAGCTCCTTTTCTTCTCCCAGCAAAGTCCTCCCTGTTAAACGGGATTAGCTGAATGGGAGCTCCTGAATCTCTAACTCCTTTTGCAACACCGACAACAGCTACAAAAGGTCCTTTACTCATTTCTTTGCTTGTGGTCATGCTACTTCTGTCAGATTCTTCTGCTACCAGTCTTGGCATCTGATCCAGTTCTTCAGGAAGCAGGGATCCCTGACATTGGTCTTGGGACTCTGGACCCAGAACTGAAGCTTCCTTGCTCTGCCCTGTATTCTTGGTTGCTTCTGGGTATTCTGGCGAAAGGTATGGTGGTGTGCTTCGTTCAGAACTGGGTTTATCATTGCTGTTTTCCCCTTCGGGGTAGGCGACAGCTGCTTCTACCCTCCTGTAAGAATTGGGTATGGAATAATCGAGAGGAGATGGTGTCATCTCATTTTGGAACCTCCTTCGTTTCTCCACAGGTTCTTCACCTAGGATCCATTTGTACTTACTGAAAAAAAACAAAGCTGTCAAGATATAGGTTTAAAAAAAAAAGAAGCTTATCCTATAAAGCCCTTCATCAAATTTCTTACATTAAAACTTCCCCCAGATGTTAGGCACATATTATTTTTCAGGTTAGTAATACTACTGCAATGGTTGAGATGCAGTTTATCTCCCCAAAGCTCATGTGCTGGAAGCTGTCCTTAGTGTGGCAATGTTTAGAGATAATGTGGAACTTTGAAGAGATGGACCCTAGTGGGAGTTTCTTAGGTCGCTGAGGGTATGACTTCGGAAGGAATGAAAGGAGTTCTCATAGAAGTACTGAACCCCGAATTATTTCTCATGAAAATCATGTTACAAAAGATGCAGTCTCTTTCATATCCACCCTAGAATTGTGATCCCATCCACTATTACACCTTCAGCAGAGTCAAGCTGATAGCAACACCACACCATGCCCTTGAATCTCTAGACCTGTGAGCTAAAAAATAAACCTCTTTTCCTTATACAGTTACTCAGCCTACTGAGTTTTGTTATATTACCAAACAAAGAAGTACAATAACTCAATCCCCCACAAGCCTCAACCCCTCCATTCATGCAACTGTTGTAAAGGGGGAAGTAAAGCTGAAAGGTTTTAAGGGTCAGTATAAAAATAAAATAGTAGGCTGACCTTGGTAAAAAGTTTTAAAAATAGATGAATTTTAAACCAGTATGACTTAGAAGTTTCCTAAAAGCAAATAGAGGAAGACAAACAAAAAATACACAGACACAATCTCTTAACGCAGAATGGAATAAAAGTTGTTAAAAAAAAAAAGCCTAGCAGTGTATGCAGAGAATAAAGCCAGCTTGTTAATTTTAAAGTGTCACAAAACTTCCAGTATCGAAGACTTAGCACATGTTTATATTGCAGTAGAACACTATTCAGTTCCTTGCCAGCCTAGTGGATTACGGCTATTGCCCATTATTCACTTGTAAAAGTTAATTAAAACACAGGGCTCTAGTTAAAAACAAAGAAGGTAAATCTGTCAGTTCAAGTCATTTCCCCATTATGACAAATAGCTCCACTTGGTCCAGCACACACTGGAACTCCCTTTATTCTTCAGATAAGTTCAGGATGATGGCCTCAAATCACCTTCCATATCTAGCAGCTATAAACACTAATGGGTGAAGAATCTAACAAAGCAACTGTGCCATTGAAATCCATAAATGATTTTATATCAAGCAGCAGGATGGGGACGGACCTCATGGCCATTCGTCCTTGTAACACATGACAAGAAATTTCAAGGTAAAAACCAGCTTTTCAATCTTTCAGTGAGAAAGAATGTGGCTTGTAATTAGCTGCCTCATAGTACTTTAAGGTTTGCTGCATCTCTGTAATTTCTGAGAACATCTGTGAGACCTCTCAATCTTAGCTTCTTACAAAGTTCTATAAGTTTTTCAGAAATAAAACTGGTCTGTGATCCTAACAGATCTTGTGTTAACCTTCAGGGAGAAGCAAAAGGATTTAGAGACTATATAAAAACAGATCCATCTTTAGGCATGCCTAAGAGGAAGTACAAACAGTGTATTTAGCTCTGGTGCTGAGGTTTACTATATAGAAATAATAGCTGGGCATAGCAATCTTAAGAAGCTGAAGCAGGAAAAGTGACATAAGTTGGAAGCCAGCCTGGGCTACATAGTATCAGGACAGTCAGGGCTACAGAGCAAAACTGGCTAAAAAATAACAATAACAAAATAAGCAAAACAAATATTTTATGAAAGGTAATTAAAATCCTACTTTTTGCCTTATCTCCCAAACTTAAAGGGTGGTGTTGCTAACTACTTTCCTTCTTGGCCCTACGTTCATCCTTTTTAGTAATCCCATACAAACTCTTGATGACAACCTATGAGCAAAACCTCCCATATTCTCTCAAGCCCTGACCACCAATAACCAATTTACAACTGCGTAGCACAAATTTTTTTGAGACAGAATCTCCCTGTAGCCTGAACCCCACCCCCCAGCTATCCTGGAACTCACTATGTAGACCAGGTTGGCCGCAATCTCACAGAGATCTGCCTGCCTCTGCCTCCTGAGTGCTCAGATTAAAGGCATGTGCCACCACACACTTTAGTATTACTCTTATACATTATTTCTGATGCTAGGTTAACAAACAGCTTCAAGATGCACATCCTCCAGTTAGACTGCTGTATGTTTTCAAGTATCAATGATAGAGGCTTGGGTGAATTCACGCTGCTAACTTTCTTTTTTAAATTTATTTTTTAAAAATATTTTTATTTTTGTGTGTATGAGTGTATTGCCTGCATGTATGTAAGTACACCCTTGTCGTCCAATGCACGTGGAGATCAGAAGAGGGAGTCGGATTCCCCTGGAACTGGAGTTATGGATGGCTGCTAGCCACAATGTGGGAATTGAAGCTGGGTCCTCTGAAAGAGCAGGCAGTGTTCTTAACTGCTAAACCATCTCTCCAGTCCTGCAGCTTTCTTTAATGGAAAAAAGTCTATGAAAATATAATTGAAGATAAAGATTTATTTATTTATTTATAGACAAGGTCTTACACTGTAGCCCAAGCTTGCCTATGGTAAACTATGTAGCCCAGGCTAGCCTTAGATTTGTAGTGATCCTCCTGCCTCTGCCACCAGAGCACTGGGATTACAGACAAGAGTCACCATGCCTGGTTGAATATTATATTTTTGTTTGATTTTTAGAGATAGGCTCTTACTCTTTAGCCCAGGTTTGGCATTGTATAGTCTAGGTTAGCCTTGGACTTGTGATTATTTTCCTGTCTCAGCTTCCTGAGAGCTGGGATTACAGGTATGAGCCAACACGCCTGGTTTAGAGAAGTGGTTCTTTTAAATATTTTAAATTAATTTTTGCGAATTTCATATATATTTTATCATATTTAGATTCCCTTCGCTATCTACATGCTTCACTACCCCCTACCAATTGCATGTACTCTAATATATATGAAAGCATACAGAGTCAGTTTTGTGTTCTCAAATGCTCGTCAGTGTGGGTCTATCCACTGGAGCCTGGTTAACCTACCAAGAGTCTCATCTTAAAACAAGGCTGACTCTCCCCCTCCCAACAGTCATCAGTTGACAATATTTCCTCAGGGAGGGTTGTGGCTTCTTACTCACTTTCCCACATCTATGCTGGAATTTTGTCTGGTGTGAGTTTTCCTGGGACCTATAGCACACATTCATTCCAGGAGGTCCCAGTAATATCTCAAACTTAGTATGTATAAAAATGACTTCCTTACTGTCAAACATTTTCTTCTCTTATGGTTCCTAACATCACTCTTGGCAATTGTTACATTTTTCTATAGTGATTTACACTACTAATATGCTATTGAGGCTCCCATTATCTTTCCTGGATCACTGAATGGCTTCCTTGATGCCCTGTCTTCCCTGCAGATCATGCACTGCTGAGCTATTCTTTCTGAAGCATTGTTTTAGCTTATGTCACACCCTTTTCAATGTCTTTTTAGAAATATTTGTAGTTATTTTATATATTTTTTTATTTTTTTACTTTATGTGTATGAGTGTATCGCCTGCATGTGTGTAAGTGCACCCATGTGGTGCAATGGCCGCCGAAGGCAGAAGAGAGCGTCAGATTCCCCTGGACCTGGAGTTACGAACAGTTGTTAGCCACTATGTGGGTGCTGGCAATTGAACCCGGGGCCTCTCCAAGAGCAGCCAATGCTCTTAACCTTCTGAGTTATCTCTGCAACCCCTTTCCAATGTCTTTATGTGTTGTTCCCTACAACATAAACATTGGAATGTCTTAGCTGGGCATTCAAGCCTTTCCATGACCAAACACGGGAAACCTCTATGCTGACAGTGTGAGAAGTATTTATCATGTATTGTCTTATCTAATGATCTGAGCAACTGGGAGCTAAATGGTCATAGCACCTTAATTGTTTTTAAAGGATGCTCAGGAAGAGGTTATAAGTAACTGTCTCAAGATACTGAGAGGCAGAGCTGGGATGTAATTTGATCCTAATTTTAGCATCCATTCCTTCCTTCATGAACAGCAGGCAAATGGAAATGCCATGTGATTTTTATTCTGCTCCTTTTAATTAGAATGGCCTTCTTGAACACTGCATGTCTAAATCTAGCTCAAGTGTTACATCTGAATTCTCGTAATACATTTTTATGTGTATTTGTGCATGTGTGCAGGAGTGTGTGTGTGTGCATGTGTATGTGGAGGCCAGAGGTCAACTTTGAGGGTGTAGTTCCTCAAGAGTCATCCACCATTTTTTTTTTCTTTGAGACAGGGTCAAGTCTTTGTGCTCAGGCAGTAAGTACTTTACCAACTGAGCCATTTCTCAAGCCCCCTCTTGTAACATTTTAAAATTCTCTTTTATTATATGTCTCACTATCTATCAGGTTATAAGATGTGTGTGTGTGTGTGTGTGTGTGCGCGCACATGCGCGCGCACATCCTACATACTGTACTAACATACAGAAGTATGCCTCCTTGACATAAAAGAGCTTAATTAATGGTGCGAGATGCAGATGAACAAAAATTTCATGTAAGTGGCAATCAAAATAAAAACTATTATGTAAATTAGAAAAAAATATATGTAATGTATATCATTATTTTTGTTCTATACATGTTCAGAAACTTTGGTTTTTCTCTCTTCCTCATATCAGACCTATATTCACTCATTTAATAAAGATTACTTGTAGATTTTATGTGCTAGGAATTCCCCATAAGCACAGTTTCTTCTCATTTTTTTCATCACGTTCATCTGTTGTCATTTTATATTTCAAATTATTTTCTAACTTTCTTCTCATTTTTCTTTTCATCACATTCATCTGTTGTCATTTTATATTTTAAATTATTTTCTAAGCATTTTACATTTTCGGTCAAAACTACATATATGATGCATCTGCTACTTCAAAGTTCTTTCTGAAGCACTTGTCTATATATGACTCCTATGAGATTAGTACTTCACTAACCAAATTAGAATATTTTATTCTTTACACACTTATTTTCATGTTTCCTACT